GGAGCCGCGAGCGGAGCGGGACCGGCAGCCGCGATCGCGGCGCTCCGCGCCCCCTCCGAGGCGCTCCCCTTCCCCGGGGATCCCGGGGGATCCCGCCCGCCCAGCCGGGCGCGTGGCATCGCCCCCGATCCCGGGGAATCCGCCCTCGCTCCCACGCACGCGGGATCCGCCGGGATCCGGATCCGCCGGGATCCGGAGCACGTCTGCGCTGCTTCCCGTGCACATGGGATCCTCTCCGCTCCGGAGTGGGTCTGCTCTCCCGCCCCGCATGTGCAGGAGATCCCCGGTGATCCAAAGGGGATCTGCTCCCTCCCGTCGGTGTGCACGGGAGTCCCCTGTGTGAGATCTCTTTGGGGTGCGCGGGGGGTCCCCCCATGATCTGCGTGGGATCTGCCCCTGTGTGCATGGGCATCTCCGGGATCTGCTTAGGAGTTCCCATGCACATGGGAACTTGTGATCCAGCTGCGACCTGCTCCCCCAGCTCCCCATGCCCATGGGATACCCTTGGATCTGACCTGGGCGTCCTCCTTCCCGCGGCATGTGCATGGGATCCCCTGTGAGCTGGCGGGGAGCTGCCCCCCCTGGCATGCAGGGAACCAGGGAACTGTGCGCGTGGGAAGCCCTTTCCCTGCAGTCCCAGTGGGATCTGTCTGTGCACGCAGGAATCCCTGGGATCTGGATGGGATCTGCCGGGTGCGCTCTAGAATCCCTGGGATCCAGATGCCCTGTGCCTGGGTCTGCCACKGGGGGACCTCTGTCCCTCTCCTTCATCTGGGCCCCCCAGCAATGCTCCCCCACATGTGGGTGCAAGCAGGTCCCTTCCCTCACCCATCCCGGGGGACTCGTGGCCCTGCCTCGTGCCCTGGCCCTGCGAGCCACCAGCCGGAGCAGGAGCTGTGTGCTCTATGCACGCACACGGGGCTGCCCAGCAGCTTGGGAGGAAAAACAGGGCACGTGGCGGGAAAGAGCAGCCCCTCGGCGCTCTCCTATTGCCCCCCTTCTGCGGGCAGTGTGGCTCTGGGGGGAGCTGGGACGGGGAGACGGGCAGGGAGACGCTGCCAGAAGGGGACGGTGCCGCTGTCCCCGCAGCGAGCGGCAACGTGGACCCCCTTGACCCCGTCTACCTGCCCGCGGAGCTGGAGCTGCTCGACGTGCCCGAGTACTACCGGCTGCAGCGGGCGGACCGGGACCTGCCGGCCAACGCGTCGCTGCGCGCCCGCTCCGAGAGCTACCTGCTGCTGCGGCACGGCGCCGCGGCGCGGCCCCGCGTGCAGGCCACCTACGCGCCCTTCAGCGCCCGCCAGGTAGCCCCGGCCGCAGCCCGCACCCCGAGGGGCCCGAGCCAGCCGGGACCCCCGCGCGGACCCCTGTGTCCTTGCAGGCAGCGCCGGCGGAGAGCCCCCTCGGGCAGGACGTGTCCCCGGGCTGGTCCGTCCGCGCCGTGCCCGTCGAGAGCGCCGCGTCGCCCAGCCAGCCCTTCGCCCGCGTGCTCTTCCACCTGCAGGGCCCCGACTGGCTGCCGGGCGCGCGGGAGCTGCCCTGCGTCGCCCTGCACGTGCAGCACCGGGGCCGGGCCGTCCACGGGAGCTGCCGCATGCAGGTGAGCGCCGGCTCCCGCGGGCTCGGGCCGGGCGCTGGCGCCGCTCAGCCCGCTCCCCCTTGCAGGCACCGCTGGGCGTCTGCGTGGTGGAGCTGGAGATGCCCCCGGCCTGGTTCTCGGAGCCCGCCGAGCCGGCGGAGCTCTACTA